CAGCTGAAAGTAGTGGTGGGAGAAAAATGAAGGGGAAACGAGAGCGAGTACATATAACGACGCGGCGAGGAGAGACGAGCTAAACGAACGAACCGACAGAGCCGGCAGAGGTAGTGGAGCCGGTCGCGAACAGTCCGGAACAGTCGCGAAGGACAGGAAAGAGAGACGGACGATGATGGAGGGAGCCGGCAACCGCAGCGAAAACGCGAGCGGAAGAGTAGGGGGAAAGCGGATCAGAAGGGCCGGAAAGGACGGGAGGGGAGAAAGCCCGAGAGGGGAGGAAAGGGCATCTCCCGCTCTACTCTCCTATTTAGTTCGGTTGAGACGTTGTCGATGGAAGGTACTGTTGTGCGTTCTCTCTTTGCTCGTGTGGTCCTCGTCGTCTCGCGTTGAGAACCGTGCTTGCAGCAATCGTTAGTTCGTGAATGCGTTGCGCGGCGCTGCTCATCAGCACCCGTAACTTTGTGACCGCTCTGCTCACTGTTGCTCATCGCAATTTCCTCCGTTCCTCGTCCATCCTCGTTATCGAGGAGCTACTTGGAGCTATATATTCCACGCCAGCCGGCAGTGTCTTTTCGAGTCATTCAATTTCTCCGAGACAGTCGCCTCGTGACGCAAATCTGTACGAGCATGAAATATCGTCTAGATCGCGGTTGATCGGTTCGGCAATGATGCGTACAACGAATGGCGAGATTGCGCCATACCAAGCGACATCATAGGCTAGCCACCCTGCACAAAGAGAGACCGGGAGCAGGGGACAGGGGAGGGGAGGGAGTGAGAGACGTCGTTTCTTCGACGGCTCCGACGCCGACACCAACACCAACATCGACCGGCCGACGGTCGAACACCGTTGACGACGTCGACTGTAGAACGTTTCGTACTACGTAGTGTTGTCGATATCGTTGTGAGAAGCGTGCCGCGTGGATTCGCTCGTGTTTTTCTGAATCGCGATTCATGCGCTGGGACTGCTGGGAGCACCTAGTTAAGCGCATTCTTCCTTGTTTCGCTGAGCGTTCCGTAAGCTCGCATGTTTGCACGTAAGTATAGTGTATCGATACGCACACCAAGTACAGCACACCACACACATGCATGATACGTTGCGCCGCCGCTGCCGTCGCCGCGCCGGTTGACGGTGCATACTTGCATACAGAGAGAATTTGCGTTTGTTTTGTGTACCGGGAGATGGAGCAACGGGACGAACGGACAAACGGGATGATGTTTTCTTCGTCTGTTTTCTTTCGTATCCTACATATTCTTCTTTTTGTCCCTGTATCTTTTTTCCACACATACAGCTTCTCTTCTACATTTCTCTTTCTAGCGCACGTACTTACATTTATGAGTTTTCTCATTCCGCATTGACCTCGTCCTCGACAGAATTACACAAGATTCACTCCTCTGCAACAAACACCCTGGAATAAGCATCGCTGGTGAGATGCATTAACTGCTGGCCATCGATCACAAAATGTTGAGATGTATTTTCTAATTTCATAGAAATATATGCTCGATAAGAACGCTTCCTGAAACTAAACGCATTCAGCAAATATATTTCGTTGCTTTTTTTTATTATTCTATGAATGTGAGTAAAATAGTGAATTAATTAAGATCTCTAATAACGGTTTTATAATCTTTGCTTAGGATTTTATCCTTTATTCTACCCGTTTGTAAATTGTATACGAATAACTGAAGAAAGTAAAATAAAAGCTAATTTTTTATTTTGAAAGAATATAATATTAATAAACGAATTATTTTCCTATGAAAATGTTTCATGATTTGTTGCTTATGATTCGAATAGCAAAGTACTTACAGTGTAGCTTTAAAAGTTTCATAAAGATTTGTACTTTTCAAAAATAAAGTGTGTGTGTGTGTGTGTGTGTGTGTGTGTGTGTGCGCGCGCGCGCGCGCGCGCGCGCGTGTGTGTGTGTGTGCGTGCGTGTGTGTGTGTGTGCGCGCGTGCGTGTGCGTGTGTTTTCAGGAAGCCTTTTAAAATTATTTATAATTACTATTAGTCAGGTTTAAGAATTATAAAACGCACAGAGAAATTATTGAATGTTTAAATATTTACAAAAATGAAATCATTACAAAAGCTAACTCCATTGCAGAATCCTTAACTTTATCGAAAATCTTAAGAGACAATTTGGAAAAGAACATTAAACATATTTGTAACAGCACAAAAAGACAATTTTCTCATTATGTCAACAAATAACTTGTTTAATTACAATTATACATTGTATGAATCATGCATGCCTCACAATCAGTACAAATAAAATTCATAGCATTCACTCGATAAATGATTGGATCTATTAGTTTTTGTCACGGCAAAATTTAATCGATTCGATCTTCCGTTCATAATCGCGAATTGGTACTAGACAGAAAAGTTTTCTTATCTTTCCGCCTAACTTGAAAAAGTCGCTCCCTCGTTTTATGTGGCCTTTGATCTCTAACCTAGGGATATACGGAGAAGGATAGATTATTGATATTTCGTATCAATATGAATCGAAATACGCAATATCGATATGGCAATATATTGATTGGAAATGATTCGATATTCGGGAATATCGTTACTTTTTTGCATGTTTTATTATACATATAGAGATGTGCAGAGAGCAAAAACTTTCGATTTTAAAGAAAAAAAAATCACTAGGTAAATTCACTAATTTTTCAATAAAATTATAAATATTTTAGTACATTTTTACATACGCAAATGGGAATGGAAAGAGAGATTGATGAGAATAAAAAATTATGCATTTATACATTTTATACAGTACATATATTAGTCATTTTATACATATAAATTTATCAACTAACAAAGATAATGTGAAAAATAAAATTTCTTTTAATTTTATTCATAATGGCGTTGATTGCAATATCATAAATTGTCCCCGAATTGGCATCCTTGTTACGTTTATGTGGTTGAATTTTGGAAATACAATCTTTGTATCGAATCAATTAATAACTACATTCCAGATCCGATATACTACGATACAGAAACTAAATGTTTCGATGCAAATATCGAATATCAAAAATGATACGATATTCCAAAATATCTATAGTTCAACCTAATTTACAATAAGATCGCAAGTCGTAATCCGTAAGAAATTAACTAATCATTGTCGATTGTTTTTCTCTTATTCAACTGTGATTGATCAATTTTTACGGCTTATAATTTTCAACCCTATTGTAGAACAGGCATTTGTTGCTAGACAATTGCGAATGATAGTTTGGCTTGGTCTTAAGGTCATTGAATGCTCCGTACTTTTCACAAGTGTTATATAGAACCACTTACATATAAATTTATAAATGCTGAGGCGATGCTGCTCGAGCAACTTGGATCATTTCTTTTATCATGAGAATTAAAACTGATCGCTTAAGTTTGTCAAGCGTTCATGTTTGACACATTTTCTTGCATTTATCAAAGCAATAACAATGTTATTTTCATGAATCTCATTGTTTTTCTTGACCGTAAATTAATTTAGAATACATGCATTATTATATAGCGAACGTTGGCATAAGTATATCTCGTTGAAAATATGAAACGTGAAATGCTTATTCCGACAAGATTCCGATGAAAAATCTCAAGAAATAAAGAGGAAATCGTGGCTTATCGCGTCGACAGAATTCACACATCTCGAATTAAGGCAGTGTCACGCGACAGATAGAAAAGACAGATAGAAAAAAAAAGTGTACGTTGCTTTGAGCATTAGCCAATGCTCTGAGAACTCCAACACAAAGGCCGCCTTCAACGTTCGCTTCTTCTTCTTCTTCTTCAATGTTCGCTTTTGCGCTCATTTTTTTCTGTGCGGTGCGCTGCGTCGCACACGCGGAGTTGACACGAAGATGCTCGCAGCACGTGCTAATTTCCGAAACACGTCTGTCTTTTTGTACATATTAGTGATTCCCTTCGCATTCATTGCGTTACGTGGACACAGCGAATTTTGATATTGTACTTTTACCGAGACTTTTTTACTTTTTGCTATATAGTTTTTTACATGATGGAGCATTCGATGACATCAATCGAGAATGTCGTTGCTGTACGCTTGGGCTCAATTGCAATCATTTCCCAAATCCAAATTATATAAAATATAATATTTATCAGTGTCACATATTATCAGACTTGATTAGAAGATTCTAAATATAATATCAATATCGAAAAAATTAAAATTATAATGAATAAGATGGCGATGAGTAAAAGGTACAAGAGATTTTTTTAATCTCCAAACTGTATACTTCTTGATTTTGATAACATGTCTGTAAAATTAATTTATAAAAACAATCGCGTGTACCTTTACTGTCTACAAGACTTGTAGATCAGTCTACTAAAACTAAAAGTATAGTAGGCGAAAACTAAGAGTACGCATTTATATTATCATATAATGCATTATATATTATGACATTAATATTTGATTGTGAGATATTATTTGGAATATATGTGTCCTTCGTTCAGTTTCGGAGCCCGCGCCACGTTTTCGCGTTCCCGCGTTTCATTTGCCGTAGTGAGAATTTTACTTCTCTTGGAGCAGTTCGATATAAATAGACATAGTACTAGACATCGCAAAACACGATATATGTATATTCGAGACATGCTTCAGGAGCGCAGTGATTCGAGTTCCCTAAAGGTTCCCGAAAATCTTTTATGCCTTTTCCTTACGATTATAATGTTGTTTACACAATACTTGACTTCCAGTTGCGTAAACCATGTGCACGCTTTGATCACATAAATAGAATTATAATATTATCTGCGATGCAAATGCATCCTACAAAACGTCTTGCGTCTTCTTGTTCCAATTTTTCGATTTCTTTCAATTTCCTTAGATTATTTCCGATTTTTTTTTAAATGAAAATGGGAAAAAGATGGAGTTCGTATTGAATAATGAACGCTATGACAAAAAGCGCTTTTCAATGTAAATGGTGGAATCTGTTCTATTTGATGACACACGTATTCACGTTAATAACGATACGCGTGTTGTTGTTTATCAGTTCGGCGATATGAAACTTCCATGCTTGTGTATGCTGTTAAAAGAGGAAAAAAGGCAAGAAAATTGTAAGATTTGAAATTTTTCACGTATCTAACGAATGTTATGCGATAATTAGGGGTAAGTCGAGTTTATCGTCGGGCCGCAAAATACCGTGATATTCGATCAATACCGTCAGGTATATTCGACGGGCGTGCACACACGCAAATCACGTTGCAAGGGACGTTTGGCGGTTTAACCGCGCCGGTGGGTAAGCGGAAAAATGGAAAGGACGACTCTAAACATAGACGGGAATAGGGAACGCGTATCCGTATATACATGGACGGGCTTGAGCGAATTAGGAGGAACTGGCGGGCAACAGGACAATCAGATAGCTACCTGAGAAACCTTTGGAAAATTCATCTAGACATAATGATAGATCGCTGGCACTTCTGTATCAAAACTTAAGTTGTGAATGCAGCTGCGTTGGAAAATTAAAAATATTTTGAGAATGTTAAGAAAATATCATGAGAGACTAGGTTTTTCGTACTTTTCGATTGAAGCGTACTTTATCGATATCGCTCAAGAAATCATTGTATAATTCTCATCTATACTTATATAGTTTCGTGCTTATTTAATATTTGAACTTTTTTTACATATAATTATGACAATGTACAAATGGGAGCTTTGCAGTTATATTTTTATTAACTCTGTCATATTATTTTCTTTTAACATAGAAATAATATATAATGTTCGTAAAAGGTAATAATTAAAATTTTATAGTAAATTAGGGAAAATGATTAAATGAAATAAATCGCTATAAACATATGTGTATCTAATGTAAGACTTTGTAAAAAAATAATACGATAATTTTGCAATTAAATATCAAGATATACTACTGCTTACATATTAGAATAATTCCAAATAATTATAGCTAATTGAACACTCTAATATTTAAGTATTGAATTAACAAGTTGATAATGATTGTATTTTTCTTTACAGACTTCGTGCTCTGCGATATTATTTGCACATGAAAAAATGGCGAGTATAGGCAAAAGGACACTCTTGCGTGATGTCAATCCACATCTAATATGCCTATTATGCCGAGGTTATCTTATAGATGCCACAACCGTGGGAGAGTGTTTACATTGCTGTAAGTAAAATTGAAATTTAAGTAGCGCGCGCTTAGATTTATTTATTGGATTGACACTATTAATATATTCTATTTTTGTTATTCAGTTTGTAAAAGCTGCATCTTGAAGTATCTCAGTACTGCAGCGCATTGTCCATTGTGCAAACATGCGATCAACAAGGCAAAGCCAAATTTCAAGTATGATAATAATTTTTTGATAATTTATACAAGGAGAGAGATTTACTCCATCTATTCGAATTTTTGTAGTGATAATAAACGATCAGATTATTATTTCTGGAGAGTGTTTAAGATCGCGATTTCTTTACAGAGCTGACAAAGCGTTACAAGATATTGTATATAAATTGGTGCCCGGGTTATACCATAGGGAAATGTTAAAGAGGAGAGAATTTTACAAGAAGCATTTTGAACACGGTAATTGGTCGTTCTAAATTTGCGCCTAGACGTTATTGTATAACGTCTGTATATTCGTATATCAATAAAATAATATTCTAAACATTAAATCTTAAACAATATGTGTTGATTAAATTAATTTTCAAACAATTAGCAAACTTGGCAACGCCGGAGCAACGCGGCGAGGATGTAAGCGGACGTTTAATATTTAATCCAGAGGATGTAGTGAGTTTGAGCTTGGAGTACCTACCACCTGGAGCAGATCCACTGACTATATTGAGTACCAACGACATGGATACAAATCACTCGAACGATTCAAATAGTAACAATAATAACAGTAATTACAACGATAATACTGTTAACAATAGAAGATATCTGCAATGTCCGGCTCTAGTAACTGTTGCACACCTGAAGAAATTTATAGCAATGAAGTACAGCGTTGATGTAACGAGATACACCATCGAGATTTGCCATCGACGCGCAACACTTCCCGAAAACTGGACTCTTATGGACGTTGCTTATATTTATGCGTGGAAAAGGGTTTGTATCATTAATTAATTTCTTATTCAAATATCTAGCTTTTTGATTTTTGCGAAATAAATATAGCAGATATATAAACTTGGTCAACGAAACAACAACTAAACTAGAGTATATGTGGGACTAGATTAAGATTAAGTGATTATATATGAGGCTCAATTATATTTTTGTAACATATATATCTGTTATAACTACACTGCCTTATAATTCACATATTCTGTATCAATTATACAGGTTGTCTGGAAATTACCGCCAAATGTTTCGTGCGTGGGTAGAACAGACTATACTGAGTCGAAAAGTCCTGTACCAATTTGCAGTGTCAGTAATAATTAACGAGATATTAATTACTAAAAATTGCAAAATAATGGTCTTGAATAATTTTTTACTCAAATACTATCAACTTTACAAAAAAACTGCAAGAAACAAAAATCATTTATTTTCTTCTCATTAAATTCTGAGAATTTTTTCAGAATTTTTGATTAACTTTTTAGTACTGCATTTTCTTATTTTTACCAACATGAGAAAATACGGTATTAAAAAATTCTGAAAAAATTTTGAAAAAATTCTCAGAACTTTATGAGAAGAAAATAAATGATTTTTGTCTCTCACACCGCACTGACACCGCAAATTGGTACAGGACTTTTCGACTCAGTATAGTCTGTTCTACCCACGTACGAAATATTTGGCGGTAATTTCCAGACACCTGTATAAAAGAATTTTACTATTATTTAAATTGCCTTTCATACAGATTGCACCGATGAGGTTTTTTTATCGAGTGGCACAAGAGGAACAAAGACTCGAAGCACCGTTGCATCAAAGACCATCGACTCCGGGACTCGGAGCTCGGGAGTGTTTGCCACCAAATGAGCAGCAGAACGATAGTAATTCAGAGAGTAATCCCGTTAATCATTTAGAAACTTCTAGATTAGAGATTAAATCTACGAGCGGCAGTGTTGAGGCAATATCAGCAAAAGATTTGAACAAGACTGCCAATGATGAGATAATTTCATCCGTGGATCATAAGCAAACAGCAGTCAAGCTGAACAAAGAGAAAGATGAAGAAAACAAAATGACGATAATTGCTATGTCTGTAACGTCGTCGACAACAAACATCACGAGTACGGTGACGACCACAACGACGAATGCATCTCCTTTATCAGGGACGAACACGTCCCCTTCGATAGACAACGATTCGAATAAGCAGATAAAGAGTCCAATTAAGATATTGAAGAATCCAGACGGAAGATACGAGGTACTAAAAAATTCGACCTCTGCTACGGATGTCAAGAGTCCTACGAATCCTGAGTTTAGTGTTGTGAATTCTAACGGTGTAAAGATAACACTGAAGCAGTGTTCGCCACCGCAGAATAGTAGTGCGAAAAAACCAAGAGTCATTAGCAATATTCTATTGCGTTGCGCCCAAACGGAGAAAGATACGCCGCAGTCATCGAGCGCGTTAATGATCCAGCAATTGCAGCAAGAGCAAGATAAGGGCAAACTTACCACAACGAGTCCGATACTGCCAGGTAAACAGGAAAAGCAACGACGTAAAGTAACTTTCATGGATCGATCTCCGACGTCCGAGAAGACTTCTCCTATTACCAATGTTATCATACCGAAAACTGCATTGAAAAAACCGGCGGAACAGCAGGACAAGAAGCAGTTCCTACAAGGTTTTCAATTGACCGCTAGAGAGCCATCAATGCCGGACGATAGCAAATCTCTCTCTCGAGATATTAGTGTTGCGATGAACATTGAAAAACGAATATCGAAGATGGAAGAATCTTTTAAAAAGAAAGACTCTGACGAAGTCAAGAAGAAAAAGAATGACATTGAAAACACCAGCTCGAATGCGAATAATAGCACTACTATTACAAATATGATCGCGAAACGTGTTGTTGATGAACGCGCGTGTAATTCAGGAATGAGTTCAAACAGTACGAATATCGCGAGCGGCAATCATGCCGCCAAAACAGACGTGTACACCTTCGCCAGCGATCCGTCAATTGTTCCAGCTGGAGCGGTCAAGAGAAAATGTCCTCCAGGTGTACCGATTGTTGACTTGAAGCGTCGAAAAACATCGCAATTAGTACAGAAACAGGAAACTAACAAGAAACAAAACATTTCTCAATCTAATTCTGTTATTAACAAGCATACTTCTCCCACGGAACATGTAGTTCCTATAAATAGAGCGATCAATGTGATAGGAAATCAAGATGTCGGATCGAGCCGTCTATCCAATGTGAATAACACAAAAGCATCGACTGGTCCATTGCTTTCAAATGATACTAGAGATCTACTAGTGGACGGCTACGGTTTGAATATACCAGCGAGTTTGAGCATAACACTAACTTCACCCAAATCTCCGGGAACTTTTGGACAATTCGTCGAATCCAACGATTCCAGTGATAATAGTCGGAAGGTCGCGATTGGCAAAGTAAATCCCAGCATCACGTTGAACGACTGTTCGGTCGATCCGCGCGTGTTGAAAGCTCTGAAGACTGGACAGATTAGAATGCCAACTACTTTGCCGAAAGTTAAATCAACAACAGCAGTGACGGCGACAACAACGGTGGCGGCGGGGACGGTAAAACAGATGATGACTATGATGATGACCGATTGTGGAGAGGTAGCAAATCAACAACGTATGATACCATCTGCTGCCAAACGAAAAAGAGAATATGAATCGTCTAAGGATATTCTGGATTTGAGTGGAGGCAATAAAAAGATGGACATACATCCTCTGAGAATTCCACAGCCGGGAACAAAACTTAATAAGACTAATAAAGTTATGGTAAGTAGAGATAATATGCAACCAGGAAGTATCTCCGATCAAGGTCAAGTGGTGACGCTGATGAGTGGTCACAAATATTACCGAGCGCCACCAGGCTCTTTGACACCTGCCGCTCATCGCGTCAACGATTGTCCGCTATCGTCATCGTCATCGCGTACACCTGTCTATGCGCCGTCTTTCAGTAGCTTCAATCGATCAAACTCAGATCTTTCGTCTGTCTTCCCGAGTCTGCCGAGTCTTTACGCTCTTCATCAGGCGCCAAATCTTCAGCAATTTCAAATGGATACAGCACGGTCGAAATTGCGACCTATTGTAGGAAGTGGAGTAATGTCTGCGATTGGAAATGACAATGTTAATCTCAATATTAGTGGTATATCAGGAAAGAGTCACCTGGCTGCTCAGTGTGCACCTATTAAGCCCGCAAGATCTTCCGTAGCACCCTTAGCGGTTCCCATCAACAAGCAACAACCTATTGAAAAATCCACAAATATTAACGTTAATCGAACAATCCCGACTGTTGATTCAAACAAGTCTCTAGCTTTTCGTAACAATGAAGCTCTCGAATCTACAGATGAAACTCGTATCCAAAAGAGATACTCTTCGAATGTTGAAAACATAAATAATAGATTCTTGTCGCAGAGTGAATGTGCGACAAATAATGATCAAGCCACTAATGAGACAACCAGGAATTCGAATTCCGAGTCCAAAAATGAAATCATTAATACTAATGATAATTTGGTGCAACAGCATCGCGAAGCAACGAGTCCTAATATCGTATCATCAACGGCTTCACCGTCACCACCTCCTGACAATGATGGCATGATGAACGCGAAGAATGAGGGTAGTGCTAAGAACGGTGATATCAACGACAACAATTCGAATGGAAGTAATAACAAACAAAAGAGTACCAGTTCCGAAGTGACGTGCAGCAAATCGCCAGATAGTCCGGATTCCAGTTCAATCACAATAGAGAATTCGGGGACAAGTAAGAGCTCAATCTTAACGGATCGGGAAATGCCAGCGGATCATACGGTTAAAGCTTCGGAATCAGCCGTGAATCCAGATAATAGTGTCGTTGATGATTCGACCATTACTGACGACAAGAATAAGTTTGCCAATAAATCGGAAGCGACTGAAATCGCGGAACAATTGACCTCTGTGCAAAAAAAATTGCTAGCAGTTTTTCCTTCAACTGATTGGGCGAAGAATCCTGTAGCCGCTGAACACTTGGGAAACTTCCTCAAGAGTTTGAATGCCACGATAAAAAGCGAAGAATTTGTCGAAGGATCCAAGACAAAGAAAATCGACCAGAAAATTATCGGAAATGACGATAATAATAAGAAGAGGTAATGACACATCTTTCGTGAGATTGAAAGATTTTTTAAGATATTTTCGAGCGATTGTACGATTCATACGACATTGCAAAAATGGTGTCAAACTTATATCATTTTACGTGTAATGGGCTTCATTTTGATTAGAATTAATTCTGAACAATTCCATAATACGTGCCCAGGATTTATAATTTTGACTTTCAGTTTCTTTTATCTTGATTAGACTTCTTGTTATAAGCTGAAAGTTTCATTGAATTTTATCTAGTTATCTCGTATGCAGAAAACAATGATGAGAAAAATATATGGCCTACCGAGTACAGATAAATTCTAAGACGCTGTCATACAAATTGGAAGATGCATAAAATTATTTTTAATTGAAATATGTACAGTTACTACAATTCATGTGAGAAAAGACTTTTACAGATTAAAATAACTATTTCGTTATACGATATACGTATATCATAGAATACATAAAATATATAGTGTAAAAAACAATAGATCGAGAATATTATTTTTTCAAAATTTTTTAAATAAATCTTTCACATATACTGATCTACATATAAATGACCTACATAACGTAATTTATACACACAGACTATACACATTACTAGTTCGAAAACTTGTAACATTCCAGAAGAAAGAATCTATTAATTATTTTTTTAACTTGAGAATTTTTTTCGCTGATGCACATATAGAGGAAAGGCTATTATGAGATACCGAGTTCATTTTAGATAAGTGCTAAAAGTCTATGGGTAGAATTAAAAAAAATAATAGGTCATTTTGAAGGGAATTTAATAAGCTTTAAGATAATGTTATATGAAATTTAATTCAAATTCCATTTTTTTTTTAAATTAAAGAAATGTAAAAAGTGAGCAAATCGCAAAGTAAAAAAATTGTACTCCTAATATGAGATACCCTGAGAAATCGATAGTAAAACGCAAAATGTATCAGTATTGCAATTAAAAAACTTTATTTCATGTTTCTAAAATGCAAACGAACACATCCAGCGTACGTGAAAAATGAGCATGCGATAGATTATACCCAGAACTCGTCTTCAGGTAGTTGGAATCAAGCATCGTAGAAATAGGCACTCGACATTTATTCCGGTCTTATCTTTTTTATTATTGTACAATAACATTTACTCTTTAGCAACAATCTTCTCTATAACATGGGAGCATGGGTTATTTCATATTAGAAATACTCTGGGCATCTCATATTACAATTTCCACGCCTTATAGTTCATATCAAATCTAACTTCTGTAATTAAACAATTCAATATATCCCGTATTTTTCTATTAGTGCGACCTTCTCTCTATCACTACATGAAGAATTTATTGCCAAATATTTATTTATGAAATAATAAACAAGGTTTAAAAGCTCATCTCAATGAAATTTAAAGACATCCAAATTCTAAAATCTTTTTTTACAATGACTACAGGCATGATCTAATAATGAATTTTCTACTAAATAGTTTTCAATCCAAGAGCAATAAATTCATGGTGGAACCAATAGATAGCGTTTATTAGTTTAGCAAAAACGCCGCTATCTCATATTAGGCGTCTATCATAATAGGGGGCTTTCCTCTATATATTAAAAAAAATCTTTTTTTAAATCAATGATTTAACTTTAACTGATTAATAATGAAATTGCAGGGAATGGAAGTAACTCATTACTTGTAACGAAATTATAGTTACTTTTTGGTAACTTTACTGGTAACTGCGTTACTTTTTTTTATAATTTGTAACGGTAACGTAGTTACATTTTTTGGTAACGGAAATGAATTTCACAATTGCTTTTATCGTTACTTTGCGATTAGATACGGTTTAATTGGACACAAAGCCTCTCATAGTGTTTGAGACTGAAAAGCCCCTAAGCGTCCACTGTGATATATGGTCGTCGATTTTTAAAAAATAACGAAAAAGAAACGTAAAGTTGCTTTCTCAACTAACGGTAACTATAACGAGTTATTTTAAAAAATCGGTAACTAGTAATATAATTTGTTACTTTTAAAAAGTAATTTTCCATTCCCTGTGAAATAGCTTATCAGCAAATAAATTTACATCTTATATCTTTCAAGGCAATGTTTTCAACGTTTACTACTAAAGCTGGATCCTGATAAAACAACTGGCTCAGTATCTATCCGATTGATAACACTCCAATCTCTGTATTCTTAACATGTCGGGACCAAACTTCTTATTCTTAACATTTTTCCTATCATGGTCTTATTCTAATGGCATATGCAAAAAAATGAAGTCATTTACGTGTAAGCCTGAGACACAATTGAAAAGTACAGAAACGGGGACTAACAGATTTCAAATTAGAAACCGTATATTTAATATACACGGTACTTTCCATTTAAGGACACAAATCAACATAAGTGTCATTTTGTCTTTGTTACTCATCGAGGAAAGATAGAATGATGTTTGTATCAACTTATGTTACTCCACAGTTTCTGATAAAATCTGCTATTCCTTGTTGCTTGTGCTTTTCAATTGTGTTTTATTCATTTCCTTACTCTACGTATGATTATGTGTATAGCTTTATACAAATATAAATACAGGTAATAAATATACAGGGTGTTTGGAATTTAAATGTCAAAATTTCAGGAGTGTGTAGGGGATCGATAAACTAAGAAAAAAAGTCCTAGAAATATGATCATTTTTGCTTCATTTTGGAGAAAATTGCAAAAAAGACAAACGTAATTATGTACTTCTGTTCTCGCACTGCCTCTGGAGTATTATCATTACTGAAATTGTGCACGAAAACAATAATAATAATTCCGTTTTCAGGTAAAAACTTTTTTGTCTGTTTACATTTCTGCCTCTCTCCTGTAAATTCGTCAGTTATTCGTCAGAAGTCATCGAGTGAATTACTCCTGTTACAATATACCGTGTACGATAGATTGGATGTTGAGGAATAGTATCTTGGTCATCCCGATCACCTGATTTGACATCACTGGACTTCTTTGTATGAGAAACTCTGAGGCAGGAAGTTTATTCATCGTCAATTAACTCAAGAGAACAATTGAGCAATCGAATCGAGATTGCAGTGTATTAAATATCATCAGATCAATGTTTTGCTACAACACGAGCTGTTCGTACTAGACGCAATGCTTGCATTGTTGCAAGAGGTCAACATTTTGAACTATGTCTACCTTAAGCAAGTGAATAAATACAACATGAATATAAGTAATGAGAAAGTAAAAAAATAAAAACTATGTTTTGCCTTTTTTGCGATTTTCTTCAAAACGAAGTAAAAACGAACATATGAGGTAGGGCTTTTTTTCTTAGTTTTATTTCCTACACGCTTCCGGCGTTTTGACATTTAAATTCCAATCACCCTGTATAAAATAGTATGAAAAAGCTTAAGAATATGGAGATTCGGCTGTAAGCAGTGAATTATAGCTGTTTATAGCTGTCTAGAAAGATAACAAAGAGTCAAAAGTAGTCCAAGCTGAAACAAATTGCAAATCGTATTCGCATCCAATATTTCGCATTTTCTTTAATACAAGTTTAAAATTATCTACATATTAAACATACAATTTTTCTAATAACAAACCTTATTAATTCATATCAAGTGCTAGGAAATTAAAAATTTCGAGCATTTTTGATCTTCCATTTTATACATCAGTACTATCAGACTCTGATTAAAATAGATATAGACTCGAATCCGAGAAGCAGACAGATTTAAAAACTAAAGATAACTATTACAAAATTTAAGACATGTTTATAAAGCTACAATTTTGTAGATAACATTTTATATTATTCTTGTATACCGGAATATTAGGAAGCAAATTTATGAAGAATGAATATTTATAGGATCTTTCATAAAATTGCTAATTGTTAATAAAATATATTTTAATGTATCAAGCTTTTATTATCTTATCTATCTATAGCTGTCTATATATTTTATTATATAATGTATGTCGCACTAAATCGAATATGAATATTTTATATAGATGCGAATACAGTTCTATATATATGTATACACATCAAACCAAACAATATTCTTGGAAAATGAATCTTTTAACCAAGTGCTATTGTTAGTATCTTAAATTTGTTTCTTATGTTACGTTTTATGTATTAGTAACATGTATAATATCAGTATGTTGTATGATAATTGTTGCATACGTTATGCAATCGGACGCGATGCGTTTGTATTATATTAATTATTGTATTATTTTGGAATTGTATATATTTATAATTATTATAATAGTAAAAGAACGAGACAAGTTCTTGCTTCGAAATTTCTGTTACTTTATAAATCGGAAGCTCAGTTCAGTGTATTTTCTGTATTTAAATATTAATTTACAATAAAAAGTAAGACTATGTATTATAATTTTTAAAAAAATACATTGTTCATATATACTTGAATCTTAGAACATATATAAATGGAAGGGGCATAGGGCGCTGAACGTGAAGCCGACATCTGTGTGAGAGAGAAAGGTAGTAAGGGATAAATGTTCGCAATGCGCATGCGCAGCACCGTCATCTGTGTGAATTGTGCAGTTGGTTTAGTGTTTTTACACATTCGTACATTACAGATGTGTAAAACGTGATGCTGCGCATGCGCATTGGGAACATTTATCCCTTACTACCTTTCTCTCTCGCACAGATGTTTGCATCAGCGCGAGCCATGGGAAGTATAGGCAATGCCTCTTCCATTTATATATGTTCTAAGACTTGAATATACAATGAGTACACATCCGTATTGTGAGAACTCATTAGAATCGAATTACGTTCCTATTGTACATTTTTCCTACAATTTTCATTCAAGTAATCACAATAGAAATGTATTTTATTTTTAATTTTACATGTTGAACGATGTAAAATAGTGAAACAGTATCTAGTAGGTATATAAAAAACTTTGTATACAGAGTGTTTCAAAAATAGGGTAGGAGCTGTATTGAGGGCGTAGAATGGGTCAAGGGGAACAAAAAAGTTTTATACCATTTTGAGATATTCGCTGTAGTTTTCGAATTAAAAAACGAAACGTCTAAGCCAATTGTGCGGTGAAGCCACACTGCGAGAATTCGTAGCACAGCTTCACCGCACATTGGTTTAGTCGTTTCCTTTTTTAATTCGGAAACTACAGCGAATATCTCAAAATACTATAAGACTTTTTTTGTTCCCCTTGACCCATTCTAAGCCCCCAATACGGCTCCTACTTTTGACACACCCTTATATACGAGTACAGTTTACAGTTTACATTATTGACATTTTGTCGTATATTAATTTGTACAATTTTTATGTTACATCTTTTAATAAATTTTCCTCTAAAATAAGTAAATAAATTTTTTCTATTTTTTTTATATTACCCTCAAATCTCAATTTATACGTAATATCTCAATACACCAGCCGACAAAATTTAGGGAAGGGGAAGGGGGTCTGTGCTTTGAAAGATGTTTCTATAGGATTT